CGGGGCAGGAGAATGCAGCCGGGTGGGCGATGCAGCTGCTGGGAGGGGGGGGCGTGCAGCCCCCACATCGTGTATTAAATACCCGAAACCCCTCGGCCAGCTGCAGCCCTGTCCTGTAGCATCTGCAATGCAAAGCCTGCCCCTTGGGCCCGCCCTGGGCCCGCCCTCCCCGCCCCTTGGGCCGCCCTCCCTCCCTGGGCCCCTTTGCCCAGCACAGCACAGGAACAGCCTGTGGGGCACAGCACAGGAACAGCCACACGGGGTCAGCCCAAAGGTCCATCCAGCCCAGTGGCCAATGCCCCAGAGGGAGGGCACCGAACAAGTGATCCCTCCCCTGTGGCCCATTCCCAGCCCCTGACCGAGGCCAGGGACCCTCCCTGCCCTGCCTGGCTAACGGCCATTGATGGACCTACCCTCCGTGAATGTATCTAGGTTTGGTTTTTTAAATCCTGTTATTGTCTTGGACTTCACCACATCCTCTGGCGTAACACAGACCCCAGGATATTGCAGGTGAACTGTGACCTCTAGGATTCCTCCGGTACCATCTTCCCTTGGGTGCAGTTCCCAGAGGAAAACGAAACTGACCAGTGGATTGAAGTTGTTGGTGACGCTGACGCACAGCAGAAGGTGCAGTCTATACAGCAGTGAGATTGCTCATGACACTCTCCTGCCCCCATCCTAGTGCTCCTCAAGCAGCAGGGGGTGGAGAGCGGTTTGGCCTTCCAGCCCCACCTTGGTATTGCTGGCGTCTCTTTAGCCTCTCAAGCCCACTGAGGAAACGGCCTAATTCCTGGGACTCCGGGAGTTTGTACGTCTGCGGCGGGGGCATTTCACACACGCAGCGGTCAGGCCAGCGCGCCATTGGAAGCAGGTGCTGCCTGCACAGCTGTGTGCCAGAGCAAACAGCCAGGGCACACCGTGGAGCTCCATAATTCCTCACGAGAATAAAGCGCAAGGCATCACGGCTGGGACGTGAGCGGGTAACCAGGGCAGGCCCCTGCCTGTGGCCAGCTGGGGCTGAAAACGGATGCAAACGCACTTTCCTCCCCTCCCCCCATTTTCCAACACGATCCATGGATGGAAGCACAAACTCGCTGCAAACATTTCCATTTAGTCAAAGCCCCGTTGTCCTGCCTTTTCACCCATTCTCAGTGGGGCCACGGCCAGGGCCATGCCCAAGTATCACAGGTACCCAAGCCTGCTCCTGTGGGATGCACAGCGGGGAAGGCACCAGCAGCCAGGTCCTCACCGTGGCAGTCCTAGGCCCCTCTGCACCCACCAGTGGCATTGGCTGGCGGGAGGGCACACGCTGGATCCTGCCCCCACCAGTAGTCCCAAGGCGGGCGGGAGGGGAGAGCACTGAACCTTCCTAAAACAAAACTCTGTCCTGCCCCTCCTGCTGTGCCAGGCAGCTCCTCCACCAGCTCCAGGGCGGGCCCGAGAGCTGATCCCCCCACCCCCTGTAGAACTGCAGGGACAACAGATATTTTGGCAATTCTGAAAAGCCAGGTGGGGGGGCGTTTGTTGGGGGTCAGAGGACACAGTTCCTTGCGATCTTTTCAAACACCTCTGATCTGTAAAATAAAACAAAAGGAATGTTTGGAAGGAAAAGTCATTCGGAGCCCAAGGAATCAAGCCCAATGAAAAAACATTTTGATTTGGTTTTGGGACTAAAACAATGCCGTGAATTTGATGATGAGGCAAAATGGTGAGGTGTTGCCAAGTCTGTCCCCCCCCCCCCCCCAAAAAAAAGTTTTGAGTGGATTTTTTCTCCAGCTCTGCCTTAGCTGGGATAAGAGGAAACGTGAACAGCAGCGGGAGCGACACAAGCACCGAAGCTTCGTGTACGGGCACCAGGCACGGAAGGATGGGCCACTGAGTGCTGTGCCGAGGCCACGGCAGGGAAGAGGGGCAGATGAGGGTTAGGAGACTGTGATGGAGCCAAATGAGCTTCTGCAGCAAGCAGCTCCCCACAGTGCCACAGCCCAGCCAGTGGGAGGAAAAGCCACCTCCTCCTCCTCTTGTCTCCTCAGCTCTTGTAGTCTCAGTCCAGCTCAGCTGGATTCACCTCTGAGCTTCATAACACAGGGCTGGTTAACTCGACTCTGGGCTCTTAGTGTCTGCCCGGACCAGGGGAGGCTGGAGAGAGCTGCCCCCGCGCTCTGGTTCCCAAGGCGAGCATGAGGAAGGATTAAAGGAGTTAGCTGTGGAGTCCGGGCTGCGATGTGACTCAATTACTCAGCGCAGTTTTACAAGAGGCCTAAGAGCTTGCAAAGCAGAAACTCCTCTGAACAGCAAGTGCCATTAGCTAGGATGAGACCCACGACTCTCGTCCTTCACTCCGCAGGGCAGCGGTCACCAGCCAGGCCATCGGGATCGACTGGGAGATTTGGGAGCCTCTGACGGGATCCCGGGAGGCTGTTGTCAAGCACAGCACTTCAGCTGCCCCTCTCAGCACCGCCATGTTGCTCCTGCCCTTGGCCTTGGAGCTGCCTTCCACACTGGGAGCCTCCTGCTTGCTGTGCAAGGCATGGGAAGAAGAGGCGGGGGTGCTGGTATCTGGGTGCCCTTCTCCCCCCTGGGCCCCATCTCCACAGAGCAGAAGGGGACAGGGATGAAGAGAGTTTGCTGGCTGCTTTTGAGAGTGGTGCAGGGCCAGGGTAGAGATGAGCCTGTCTTAGCCCCACTGCACCCCCACCCAGAAACCACTCGTGGTAAACAGTGTCCAGCTGGAGCCTGCATTCCAAACCCCTGCTCCAGTCATGAACCCCCTCCTTCACCCCAAGCTCCTGCCCTAGCCCTGAGTCCCCCCCCAGATCCAAACTCCCTTACAGAGCCTGTACCCTGAATGCCCTCCTGCCCCCCAACTCCCTGCCCCAGGCTCAGCTCAGACCCCTGACACTCCAAATCCCTTAACCTAAGAACAGAGCTTGCACACCAACCCTCTGCCCCAGCCTCGTGAAAGGGAAGAAGGATGGGGGAGAGAAGAAGGATGGAGTGAGCAGGGGCGAGGCCTCGAGAAAGGGGCATGAAGGAGGTTGGGCATGGGGATTTAGGTTTGAGGTAGATCCTGGATTGCACTTAAATTCAAAAAAGTGATCTCATGCTTAAAAAGGTTGGGGATCACTGCTACATAATGACCATGGTAAGGAGGGTATCAAGAGGCACCCCCCCCTGCCCCTCAACCCCCATCCTAGCCCTGAGTCCCCCTGCACCCAAACCCCGTCCCACAGCCTGCACCCTGGACCCCTCTTGCACCTCAAACCCCATCCTAGCCCTG